AAAAGAAAAGAAAACAAGAAACGGGATTTGTTTTTTTTCGAAAATTTGTTTTTTTCAGTTTTGCGTCAATATTTGTTTGGTGGCGTAAAACAATTTTTTTGGCCTTGAATTTTTTTTTGCAGGTAGTCAGGCACCTAGGCCATGCGCATGAATGTTTTTTAGAGTTTTTTATTCGGCGAATATTTTTATAAAAATCATCAAAGTTGGGGTACTTTTACCACCCTGCTCTGAGCCTGTCGGGATTTGAACTCGTGAGTTTTCACGAGTTGTTTCCCTACTCCTCCCAACACTGACAACTGTCCTCCCCGTTTTCAAGGGGGGGCAACAGAGGTTAGGGAGATGCAGTTGGCCCCAACTGCATGCTTCTGACTCAGATTAAAGCCAGGAACAGTACAGTTGGGGGATCTAAGTTCTTTTATTTTCTTCTTTTGTTTTCTGTGTTTTTCTTCTTGAGGACACTTGTCCTCACCAGCTGCTACCTCTGGCACAAGCTGCCAGAGGTAACTGTCAGGCTCCCGTTTTTAAGGGGAGCCTGAAAATTTAAAAGTCACCTGAGGGAAAAAGGCCAAGTACAACTTTTTCCTTGATGTATCTGGACTGGAAAAAGTGCCCAGATACATCAAACTAAAAGGGGTTGTAACTTTTCATCCCCTTATCAGAAAAACAAAAGAGAAACAGATTTGGAAATGTCAGAAATTCAGCTATCTCGTGAAGAAAATTCAGCTGTCTCGTGAAGATTCGAGATAGCTGAATTAAAAAGAAGGGGGGGGGGGGGGGGGGGGGGGGGGGGGGGGGGGGGGGGGGGGAACATGGCCACGAATGTGGTTGCGAGTACGATCAGATACAGGCCAAACTGGACCGAATGTGACTCAGGCCAGAGGCTGGGGAGTTGAAGAGGTGGTGAGGGGAACTTGGCTGGAAACAACCATTTTTTCGCCGAACCTGCACTCAGTGTGGGGCTGAGTGCAGGGAAAAAGGAGAAAAAGAGGGGGGCAGTTGAGTACAACTGCCAACGTAAGTGTGTGGCTGAGGTGAGACAGCCTCAGTCCGTTGATCTGGCTCATATCAACGACCCTAGGCAAGTGAAGAATTTTGCCTGGGGCCAGCTGAGGCTGCTGCTGCCCTCCTCAGCCACTACAAAAGAGGCAGTTGTCCCCCAACTGCCTCACACTTGCCTCCAGCTGCCAGTGTGCGACAGCACACTTGCCTCATCGCTGGAGTGCTGGAGAGGAGGCAGGAGTGTTGTCGGCGGAGCTGGAAGACTCCGGAGGAGCGCGACGAAGGAGGAGACAACTATAGCCTTGGCTGGAGCACTCTGCTCCACCCCTTGGCAGGCTGGTTTCAAGGGGGACTCTGCAGCAGCGTGGTGAGGAGCGCCCTCACCGGACCCACAACACAGGTCATATGCATTCACCATTACCAGATCTTTTTACCTCAAATGCAACTACGAACTCAAGCCCTGACCGCGCCCTGTTCTCAGCAGTGGCGTGGTAAAGGACTTTCGCCGGCATCCCGAACAGCCGGACCCGTCGAACGAGGCGCGTGCTCAAGGTCCCAGACGACCACGACGACTTCCCGTGTCCGACAATCTAATAGCTGAGCCAAGCTCGTCGGTCTCGACGTCGGCCTCAGAATCAATCACTGAACTAAAAAACTTTAGCACACAAGAAATAAAGGCAGATAAATAAATAAATAGTAAAAATAAAAATGAACGTCACCTATCCCCCTGATCCGCGACGCCGCGCACACCCAGGCTGCGCATGGTTGCACCTTGCCATCAATACCCCGCGCGCGCCACTCACCCTTGCGAGGACCTAAGATTTCTCTCCCGCGCACGTCGTCGGACGGGCGAGGCCTGCACTCGTGTGACTTGCAGGAGACACGCCAAATACCCTTGTAAGGGTATTTGGTACGACACCGACTTCCTCTCTCCCACGCACAACCCGCGTGCGATCCCTCGAGTCCGCTTTCCCCCCCCACCTGCGCGACTTTTCCCCCATGTTCCCCCCCTATCATCATTATCATCATCATCATCAATCTACTTGTACCCTACCTACCACGCTACCACCCAATCAATAGTAGATAGGATCGCTCCGCCCTCGATTTACATCAAAACTCGTTTATTCCTTTGACTATTATTTTTTTTTAATTTTAGAATCCATTTGAAATTCTTGTAGATACTTAATTAACTATCTTTTTCGACATTTCTTTTCGAAACCATTTCTAATTAATTCTTTTTTGATTTTTTTTAAATTATAAAAATAATTTTAATTAATTATTTTTGGAATTTTTATAATTAAAAAATATTTTATAATTAATTATTTTTTTTCGTTCGGATTAATCAATTATTTCTCAACATTTCTTTTTCGAAATTCGCAACTACTTTTACTTCATTCTTTTTCAAAAATTTTGAAACTACATAAGAATTAATTAAATTCTTTTTCAATATTTCTTTTAAAAATTCAAAAATAATTCTAATTATTTCTTTTTCTCATATATTTTAATTCATAAATTTTCTTTTTACGCTTTTTTTTGACATTTGAATTTTTTTTTTTTGCAATTCTTTTTCGCAATTCTCTTTTGATTCAAAGGTATTTCCTTTTTTTTTTTTTGAACTCCTTAATTAATTTCGACTAAACTCGATTAATTCACAACTGAATTAATCTATTTTACTCGGAATTAATCACCGTTTTTCGAAATTATAAAATTCTACCTCGAACGTAAATCTGAATAAATTTCGTCGAAATTTATTTTTATCAAAATTAATTATTATTTTTCTTCATTTGGAAATTCTTAAAAATTTCGCTTTTGTATTTTCTTGAAAAATACACTCGCAAACTAGGCTACCAGAGTGGCCCGGGATCACTTGCCCGGCCAGACCCAAAAAATTAAAAAAAATAAAAATAAAAATAAAAATTTTAATATATATATTTTTCTAAATTTGATGAAGAATTTCGATATAACCCTGAGGCAAAAATTATTTTGTTTCTTTTGCTGCGACCTTCCCTGTTCCTTACATGGGCTGGTCACCCGGGACCCGGACGGCCCGGATGGTAGCCTAGCTCGCGAATCAATTTCGAATAAATTCAAATTAATTCAAAATTCATTTTTGCTCTGTGATTCTCTGCTACCTTCATTGCTAAATCACTTGATAACACTCTATTATTGTAAATAGGAATTGCCCCCCCCATCTCAACATGCCACCACGCCAAACCAAGAACTCCCAACGCGCCACCGTCGATGCCGCTGCTGCTGCCACCGCCACCGCAGTTGCGGCACCCTCCACATCCGTTCCGATTGCGTCCTCCACCCCCTCTTCCCCCGACATGACTGCATCCTCCATCATCAACATGTCTGACATCCGCACCGACTCGGTCGATAGCATCGCCCACAACTTCGTAGGCGAACAACCACCAGCAAACACCTCTACCTCCGACCTCTCCGCCATCCTCCACGCACTCAACACCTTCCAAACCTCTCTAGACGATATAAAGGTCACCATGTCATCCATATCCGACCGCGTCACCATGCTCGAAGGGGACAACCCCTCCATTACGGTCGTCACCACGGCCGCACCTCCCTCCTCCACAGCGCAAACCAATCCCTCTTGCACAACCGTCTCTAGCAACACCCCCCCCCCGACCTCCTCCACTCCTACCACATCCACCAACCCTTCCTCCTCAACCACCACCACTGTTTCGTTCCCCCCACCTCCTCCCTCATCCAACGCATCCAACACACCGCCTCATTCCTCGCCCATCCAAGTCACCCCTCTTCCCCCCCCCACTCTCATACCCTTCCGCAACCCATCATGACGACCTTCACCATCCCCACCATCCGTCCCACCTATTCATAAGTCACCTCCGAGGTTTACCCCGCAATGTCACAACTCCCTCCCAACTACTTCCTTGAGGACAACAACCAACTTGACTACACCTGCTACGACACCACCCTCGATAACCTCAGCTTCAACACCCTCGCCCGGATCGTTTCGCGTGACGGGGAAATCCCCCGTTCCTTTCAATTCGTCGACATCATGTCCTTCTCTTACTTCCCCCACGAGGACGTTTTCCTCTTCCTAACCCAACTTTAGAACTATTTTCACCTCCACCACATGCCCCTTGTCCACTGGCTCCCCATTGCCACCTTCCGCCTCCTCGGCAATGCCGCCAAATGGTGGATGGCTTAAGTTAGCAACTGCCGAGCCTTCGGAGTACCACGTCACTCCTTCCTTCAATGGGCCAACCTTCTCACTGCCACCTTCCGCCCCCAAAAAACCATTGATGACTACCTTGAACAATTCTGCCACCTCCGCCAGACCGGTCCCACAGACCGCTTCGTCCAATATGTTTGCTCCCTCCGCCACCACCTCCCCACCACCATCATTCCCGACTTTGCGTTCATCTCCCGCATCAAACGAGTATGTCACAAACACCTTGCAACCGCCCTCGCCCATGAAACCGACATGCCCCTTGCCGACCTCTTCTCTCGCATGCTTCACCGCGATCGACTTCTCCACCCTCACCAACAGTCCGCGCCCGCCCCCTCCCGCACCCGCTTTTTCCACCACATCATCCCTGAAGACACAACCTCCATCACTTCCTCGGACGAGTTCACCGCACCTGACCCCGACACGTCTTCCTATTCACTCGACTCTCCATCCCTCACTTCCGAGTAACTCAACATTGTTCAATTCATGAGGATGGAGCGCAAAGATCGCAGCTTCTGACCACCCTCATCTACCCCACCCTCCCGCCTCAAGAAACTCACCCCCGAGGAGCGCAGCTACCTCCAAGCAAAAAGGGGTTGCTTCCGTTGTCACCAATTGAGGCACCAACAAACCAACTGCCCCAACGCCGCATAATTCACCCGCCAGTCCGCCTCCACTCGACCCGCAACCTCCACATCACCGCCCTCGGCAAGCGCGGGTCCCTCCTCATCATGAACACAGTCCCCAGGACATCGATCTGGCATCGACAATTCGTCTGCCTCCCCCCTCTCTGGTGACGCCCCCTCCACCGGTCGACTCTCACAAAACCGCCTTCCGCTCTCGGTTCGGGCGCTACGAGTTCCTCGTGATGCCATTCGGACTCACCAATGCCCCCGCTATCTTCCAATCTACCATGAACCACATCTTTCGCAACCTCCTGAAAGTCTGTGTCGTCGTCTACCTTGATGACATCCTTGTCTTCAGCCCCATCTTCGAGTTCCACCTTCAGCACCTCCGCCAAGTCCTCTCGATCCTCCGAGACCAAAAATTTTACACCAAGCTCAACAAATATACGTTTGCTGCTTCGAGCGTCGAATACCTCGACCACATTGTCTCCGCTGAAGGCATCGGTATGGATCCCTCGAACCACCCAAGACCCTTCTCAAACTTCGTTCCTTTCTTGGCTTTGCCAATTACTATCGCCCGTTCATTCGCAACTTTTTCGAGATCTCTTACCCCCTCCATGAACTCACACGCAAGGACGAGTTCTTCACTTCGAACGATCGCCGCTAACACGCCTTCGATCTACTTCTCAAACAAACCATCACCACGACCCCCGTCCTCAAGGTCGCCGACCCCACCCGCCACTTCTATGTCACCACTGACGCCTCCGACTTTGCCATTGGAGCCGTACTATCCCAACATTTCATTCGTGACACCGCCGACACCCCCTCCATCAAGAACTCCTCCACTCACCCCTAGGCTCCACCCGATGAATACCCCATCACCTTCGCTAGCAAGAAGCTCCTTCCCGTGGAGATGAATTACCCCTCCAACGAGAAGGAACTCCTCGTCGTGATTCACACCCTCATATTCTGGCGCCCGTACCTCGACGGACAATACTTCACCATCCGCACTGACAACACCATCGTCTCCTTCATCCTCTCCAAGAAAGATATCACTCCACGCCAACCCCGCTGGCTAGACTTCCTTGCCCAGTTCAAATTCACCATTTGCCATACCCCCGACAAAAGCAACCGCGTTGTGGATGCCCTCTCTCGACGACCCGACCACAAGCCCCACGAGAAAGTCTATGCCGCCATGACTCATATCCAACTCCTCCCATCACTCCATCACCGATACTCCCAAGGCTACCTCTCTTGCCCAGACTTGGCCACCATCTACAACAAGCTTCGCGACCTTGACCCAGTCCCCGACTACTCCCTTCACGACAGCCTTCTCTATATCGATACCAAAGGCACTCGCCGACTTCGCATCCTCGACGCACGTGGTCTCCGTACTCAACTCTTGGTCGAGCACCACGACGCCAAGACTGCATGACACCTCAGTTTCCAAAAAACCTTCGACACCATCTCCCGCTACTTCTACTGGCCTTCCCTACTCGCCGACGTCAAAACATACATTCGATCATGCCCCACATGTCAAGCTGTCAACCCCTCGAACCGGGTCAAACTTGAACCCGACAAGCTCCAATCATTGCCCATCCCAACTCACCAGTGGCAGTCCATCTCCATGGACTTCGTGTGCGGTCTCCCCAAGACCGACCGCGGGCATGATTGCATCTACGTCATTATTTGTCGCTTGATCAAACGTGCTCACTTCATCCCTTGCACGACATCGCACAATGTCAAAGACGTCGCCACACTCTTCTTCGACCACGTTGCTCGCCATCACGGCCTCCCCGAGAACATCATCAGTGACTGTGATCCTCGCTTTCTCTCACAATTCTGGAAACACCTCGTCACGGCCTACGAGACCACGCTCAAGTATAGCACTGCATTCCATCCACAGACCGATAGACAAACAAAGAAGATTAACGATACTCTCCAAATAATCCTGCAGAAGTATTGTCATCCTCACCAACACGATTGGGATCAATTGCTCCCAACCACCGAGATCGCCTACAACAACGTCGTCTACCCTTCCACCAGCATGTCTCCATTCTACCTCGACCTTAGCTACCACCCTCACTTGCCCTCTGACTTCTTGCTTCTTTTGCAACTTAACCCATTCACCCCCTGCCCCTCTCTCAATAAATGGGTAACAACAATGAAGAGACTCCTGAAAGAAGCCTCCGAAACCATTGAATGAACCCAAGAACAACAAGCCAACAAGACTAACAAACATAGACACGGCGTGTCATTCAAAGTAGGGGACAAAGTCTGGCTCTCTGCCAAACACTTTGAACCCGAACACGGCTTGTCCAAAAAACTCTCCAACAAATGGCTCGGTCCCTTCCTCATCATTGAACAAACCTCCCCCATCAACTACGAACTCCAACTTCCCCCTGATATTAGTCGTGTCCACCCAGTCTTCCATGTCGAGTACCTAAAAGAATACCATGAATCCCCCCCCTAGTTCGTCGACCGCCCATATCCTAGACCTCCACCAATCATGCTACCCACAGACCCTGAATTCGTTGTCGAAACCATCATCGGCCGACGAACTACTCAGGTATCTGATCATCCAGAACCAATCACTGATGCAAAGAATCTGCATGGAAACCTCTCTCTAATCTTAAGAACGCCATGAAACTTGTCCGCGTCTATGATCGTGTTAATCCTATGTTCTAGATACCTATATAACTATGGCATAAACCCCCGCTAAACCCTCGTAACCCTGCTCTACACACACCCTTGAACCCAACCACCCTCCCCTTGACCTTGATTCTTGATGTCTGATTTGCCCTTACCTTCGCCTAACCTTGTCCCATCTGTCCTCTCCACTACCTTGTCTCTCTTGTCCAATGCTTGTGGATTTGCATGACACCAACGATAAAGGATCTAATGGCAAGCGCATGAGGACGTTGGCCTGCTGCCTCACTGTTCATGGAGATTGTGCAGTTGGTTTGACCACCATATTGTTTCATCGGCCGGCATCCCGACTCACAGACTTACTGGAGCAGCAACTTGCTACATGGATACTTGCATCAATCTGCGACTTACCTGCTTCCAGATCAGACCTCATTGCAGTTCACGTACCGAACGCTCCCTAGCACTCGGACTTTGGACATGTGAACTATCGCTACGCTTCTTGGATTTCTACCTGTTGCAGACACTGAAGACCGCTTTCACCACCTACTCCAAAACCTGATCAAGACCGCTACAGACCTCCTTTCAAGACACTCGGACACTTTGTTCCCACATGAGATGTTGCTTCTTCGGACACAACCAGCCTTTGCATCCTGAACAAACATTTTCATTTTTTTTGACAACCCTGTAGAACATCATTAGCAGATCCGTGTTTCCCTAACCATTGTTCCCCGTACCCACTAGAACATCAATAAGCATTCCCTGTTCCCTCTGACCGTTGTTTCCCTTACCCACTAGAACATAAATAGAAATACCGTGTTTTCCTGAACACCGTTTCCCTTACCCAGTAGAACATCAATAAAAGTTCCCTGTTCCCTGAACTTTGTTCCTCCTTGACCTATAGCAAACCATGCAGTCCCCTTAGTTCATCAGTAGGACTACCCTGCTCCCTGCCGCCCCTAGTTCATCAGTAGGACAACCCTGTTCACCGGTACCAAACCTTGTTCCCTCTTACTCCCGCAGTCCATGCCACCCACATTATACCCCTTTTCCCTTCGACTTGTTAACCAGTGATCGGCCCCGTCCCGTCCTTCACAGATTTCAGCATTGCTTCATGGTTTTTGGCAGCBGGGACGTTGCCTTCTAGAGGGAGGGGATAGTGTTACGGACTTCGCCAGGGCTCGATCCTTGGTCTATCCTTTTGCTGTTTCGGTTGCATCCCGTTTTTGGCCTGACACCCTTTTTCCAAACCCCTCTTTTGGTACCGTAGGATTTTGAACAACTGGTGCCATGCTGCAATTCGGGCGCCACTTTCAAATACCGCATTTTTCAGTTCTGCCCCCGGGGCCTTTGAAGAAATGCCCCTGGTACAGTACGTGTCAACGGTACTTATACCGGTTCCCCGTACGGTACGAGCACCAGTCTCGTACCAGTTTTCTGCTGCTGTACTTGTGCTTCGGGTGACTTGCTTCGACATTGTGTTCGGAAATCCAAGACTTCGACTTTGCGACTTTGCCACTTCATGTCTGCGGCCGTCGAGTCGTGTCGAGTCTGTGTCGAGTTGAGTGAGTGTGTGTGTGTGCTCTCCCTCTCTCCCTCTCTCTCCCATCCTCGTTGCCTCAGCCTCGTCACAGTATAAGTCTCACTATGTCCTCAGTGATTTTCTTCGCAAAATCATTGATTTCAAAGCACTTGGTTCTTTAGGGCCACATTGAGTAAGATAGTGGTGCATAAAATTCCATTTAATATATATTTTTAATCTTTTACGTATAAGGCGTAGTAGAACCACTTGATGACAAAGATACTTGAGTAAATTGTGGCTATGTACCTACTGATGGTCAAGACAAAAGTTGCTCTAGGTGATGACAAAACACAATTACAATGAGTAGGGGAGACTCGTTGATGCCCGAGGTCTGGGGATAGATGGTGATCATGAATCTACTGATGACAGGGGCTAGAATACCTTCAAACCATAAACAATCAATAATGACCAGAACAACAATACGAGTGATCAGAAAGGGCTATAATGGACGGTAAGATAGAGGGGCTGATAGTGGTCTTGAATCTATTAATAATAGGTTAAACTATAAGTCGTAATCGGAACAACAATAATACAACCATGAAGGTAAGGGGGCGGATAGTGGTCATACAACGACTGATGATAGGCTATAATATATAGGTTGTGAACATAATTTGAACAATTGATAACAACTGTGCTAGGTAAGAATACCCAGGTTGCTTGGGTGTCATAGGTTAGACCTTGGCTAGAGGGAACCATTAAACATCACCTATAATATCTATGGTGTATATGACTAGATCCATACACTGAGGTGCCCGGGCAATCTTGGGGGCCATTGAGGCTACACCCATGGGGCTTGTAGAAAGAAAACTTATGCCTATCGCCCGAAGTACGTATAAGTCAGGGCTTGTTTGACTCTGCTTCATCCAGTTATGAGTGGGGTTCCTGCTCAACGGTGGTGCCTGCAACTGCTGTCCGGTAGATCACCCTGACAAGATGGTAGAAGGGTGATGGTCCTGAGACATTGAGGTAGGGCTGGGAAGTGGGGGGTGCGGCCGGGAGAATTGACGAGAGGAAAGTTTTTTTTTTTTTTTTTCCCCACTCCTTTAAGGGCATCACCATACCACTCTGGAAATGTGAAAAATGGGAATGAACTTCCTGCTAGAACATGGCCAAATGCACCCGCAAGATTCATGTCTTTTTCACAGTCCGAGAGTGGTGTGGCAAGGCCCTAATGCTTGGAGGGGTGCGCTCATATGGGGTAGGACCCTAAAAAAAAAAGTAAAACCACCAGTACCTCGCCCAGCTATAAAAAAAAGTCGCGGCCGTTAACGCGCCACAATTTTAGGGGGTCGGGGAGACCAACGCCCGGTCGGTGCAATTTGCCCCCCCCAAAAAAAATTCACGAAAAAAAATTAAAAAAACATATTCTTCGTTAAAAAAAAAAAGAAAAGAAAAGGGAAAGGCGCGCATGGGACGGTGAAAAGAGAGAGAGACCCTTACCCCAGGGTGGAGTCCTCGGCACATCTGTGGTGGGAATGTGTGGTGGCACGAGGCTTCTGGGAGTGGCTCCAAGAACTGTGGCGGAAGGCTTACGGAGACTCCATCAGGTGGGATCAGAACTTTGTTCTAACAGGAGACACATCAACTCACATTAGGAAACAGGTGGCACTGAACTTCCGTGCAATTGCTTTCTGGGTCCTGTGGTTGGCAAGGAGGTACAGCCGTTTTAAAGGTAACAACACGGCCCAACCGGCCCTGAGAAACAGCTTCAGACATATGGTAAGATTGCAGATCTTGGCAGAATACAGAAGGTCCAAACAGAGGAAACTAAGGAAGGACGTCACCGCCCCGAAACTAACAAGCGAGTGGGAGTCCCCTTTCCAATGGGCAGGGAGAAGAGCCAATGGTAAGTTCTTCTTCTCTCGCTTACTGTGGGATGAAGGAACTACCACAGACGACACTAGTCTGCAAATTGCAGTCCCATCGTTCTAATATAGTACTCTTAATACATGGTATTAGGTATCAGAGAGTCAGTCCACTACTTTTACAAAGCCGAATAAGGACGCTGGACCTGGTTTCCAGTAAAGAGGTTACTTGGTGTTACACAGTTACCTCTAGACATGAACTTAGGAACCACAAAGATAGAATAGAACAGAGTAAGGATGACGGACCTGCTTCCCAGCAAGAGAAGCTCATAGAAGGTAGTCTAACCGAAGGCTCTACTGCAGACAAGTGGACCCAATGTGGATCTAAAGGACGCTGGACCTCCTTTCCAGCACACGCCTAAGCTGTTTATTGGCCTCAGTACCTGGGTACATGGTATTGGGTATCAGAGCGTCAGTCCACTACTTTTACAAGGACAAATAAGGACGTTGGACCTGGTTTCCAGCAAAGAGGTTGCTTGGTGTGACACAGTTACCTCTAGAAGTGGACTTAGGATCCACAGAGATAGAATAAAACAGAGTAAGGACGCTGGACCTGCTTTCCAGCAAGATACCCTTTTCACAGAAGGTAGTCTAGCCGAAGGTCTTATTGCAGATAAGTGGACCCAATGTGTGCCTAAGCTGAGTATTGGCCTCAGTATCGGGGTAGAATTGTGAGGTCCCCGGCCTCGCGGCTCATTATTCAATACAGATACCAGATTTCCAAAAAAAAAAAAAAAAAAGAGAGGGAGAGAGAGAGA